GGAGATTTTTAATAGAAACCCTTTCTTAGCTTTTTGAGCGTTGGATATATTGTAGATGTGTTTGAAGCTATTAGCATAAGCAGTGACTGAAATTGTCGTGGGCAAAACTTGGCCATAAAGGGGTCAAGTTCAAGCAGCCCATAAGAATTTTCCTGATTTCTGCAATGGAAGTTGTAGAGTGTAATTTTCACCTTAATTGAAGTTAATGGAGAGTCTGCACTACAGCTGAAGAATCAGACCATCTGGATGCAGTGATGTGTTGGTTGTTCCCCCCTGACTCCCAAGTCTCTCTGCCCTCTTCCCACATGATATGTTTTTATACAAATGGGTGAGAAAAATTTGGAACCCCCCTGGAGGTGATAGTAGTAATATATTTCATAATGGCAATGATGTCTAGTTTTTGTGTATTTGGACATGCATATCCCCCATTAATGACTGTTTGAATGTTCTAGTACAGTTTAATCCTTGTTTTGCTTAGAACTTACTGTCAGTGTTACAGCATCAACTGATTTCGGTCAAAAGGTTTTCTTCCTGCAAATTGTCAATCAAGCAGAGGCTACTAAGTGGCAATCAGATTTTTCTGTGTGGTCCTGCACCTTCAGACGGCTGGTTGTTGACTCTGTCCTTTATTTTTAACTTTGAGTGGACACTTCATTCCAGGAAATTCCTGTGCTATGCCTCCCTGTGTGTGTGTATCTTAAATGTTTTTCCAACCCCATCTTCTGAGGTCTGATCTTTCACTGATCTGTGGGATGCAGTTCCTCACTTTCTAATGCTACTTTGGCTTCCAATGCAACCTGATAAACTCTGAAGCCCTAACAGCATTATTGTATCAGTTACAATGTTGTTTCCTTTTTGTTAATCAGTAAACCTGCATGGCCTACCTAGATCTTTGTTGACAACTACTTGATTAGTTTTAGCCTAAATGACATACCAAAAAATTGGAGTCCCTGTCAGAAGAATAACATGGAAGATCAGATTCCATCTAGGACAGCTTGGCAGAATGCACTGTACATGGATTTCCTACCACACAAGGTGATTTTTTTCGGCCTAATGTATGGAAAAAGCATACTGCTTGCTCATATGGGCAATGTATTATAATGTCCAGTGTTATTTAGAGATTTAAAAACTGTTATTTCTTACGTTGTGGCCTTCATAGAGCCTGAAGAAATTTCCAGTTTTGCTGGGATTATATGGGGTTATAATTTTAGGTCAGGTGTTGTAGTAATCTGAAATAAAGGATGACTTAGAGTATGGGTACTTTATTTTTGAATCAGTCAGTGTGTAGTCCTACTGAAATGTTCTTGAGATTTTTCAGGTGTTCCACCTTTGAATAGTACATAGGAGCACATCGTGAAGAGCAAAGCCAGTATAATGCTCTAGTAGTCCAAGTAGAAGCCAGTACTGAGTTTGCAGGATGTTTATTAAGAAAAATTTCCTTAAAAAGAAAAAGCTCAAAATGCTTTTTATACAACCTTTATATAACTTCAGGCATCCATAGGGTAGATGATCTGTCAGATCTTTTCATTGATATGTTTATCTTTCAAGACAAATACAGTTTTCCTGAATGGATAACTGACTTGGATGGTAGGAAGATAGAAACATTTTTAATAAACGTTTTATACTTTTTTACTTCGTGTCATCTTCCTACCATTTGATCCTTTGTTACTCTTCTGGAAGCAGTGTAGAAGCTCTGTTGATTTTGAATATTTTTTTTTTTTAACTGGCTGAATAAAAATTAAAAGATCTTTTTCCACGCCTCCAAATCTGCAGCAGTGTCTCCTGAATTCACAGAAAGTCCGTAGATTTTTTTTTTGGCTTACCATGGAAGTATGCTGCAGCTGGAGATTGTTCCCTAAAGCAAAGGAGAACATAAACCTGCAAAGGAACTTCAAGATATTTGGAGACTTATTTGACTTGAGCAGCTATGATATAGTTTCATCACTTATGAAACTTAGTTAACTTTGCTTTTTTGCTCGTTTTAGAAAATTCTTCTAGCATACCATCATTTGGCAGATCATTAGAATCTAAATTCGAGTTTTCGAACTTGAATGTTGCTTGAAACCAATTTTCATTTGTTCCTCAGCATTTCAGTAGAGTAGTTCTCTTCCTGCTAAAGATCTTTTTGTATATGCCATACAAAACAGTCCTCTTTCCTTAGTGTCTGTGTGAAGAAGCTGGGCTCTTGGTTTTTCCATTATCATGAGTGGAAACATTTCTGTGTAGCTGTTCCACTTAGAATTTACTTACCTTGAACATGGGAAGCAAAAATTAATGTGTATTGCTTTGGAAGAGTTTGTCTTATCATTGTCTGCTCATCTAGCATGTGTGCTTTTTTCTCTTTTGATATACTTCTGGGTATATTTTAGGATTATAGTTTTCTTTTTGCTGTTGCATTGTGTGATACATTGCAATGAGTACACAGTGATCTTTCTCCCTATGTTTCCAACTAATTGTGTCAGTCTCTTAATGTGAAAGACAGGAGAGAACGTTACCTACATCAGCTAGTAGAGACTTAGTTCACTGACTTTTTAAACAGTGCTGATGACTTGTGTTGGAAGGAGTGATAGAAATGCGTAGCATTATTGTATGTAGACTGAGTTCCGTTATTTTTTTTCTGTCAGTATGTAAGGTGTTTCTAATAATCTTAGGTTCATGGCCTATTGCATTTTGTCCCGTTGGCTAATTGCTTCATTTGATACAATTTGTGCTGTGTCCCAAACCTGTTACCAGTGGATGATTTCCTAATGTTCATTTCATCCATGGGCTCTTATTTTTTCTGTAGTCACTAATGAAAGGCCTGGTTTGGGGTAACTTCACTGATAACATCCTTTAGCTTTGTATGTCTTTCCAAAACCAGTAACTGTTACATTTTCCTTAGCAAGTTTACCTACGCTGCATTTCTCCTCCTAACCTGTTCCATTTGAAGTAAGCTTTCAGTGCCATATTATGGCTGTGAAATACAGCTAGGTTGGATTAATTATATTTTCTTGGTATTAAAAAAACCCAAACAGTTATTTTACTGAAGAAAGCCTGCTAAGTTTGCTTGGTACTCTCTACTCTTGATTAGTTTTTGTTTTAGATGATCTTTTTTTCCTTTTTTTTTTCCTCCCATGTCTTTTACTTTTCTTAAAAACTAGGTTTTTAAGTCTTTCGTACTATCTGTTGATAACAGATCAGGCTAATTACTGAAGTGGTACTACTCTGTTTTCGTACAACAAATTATGGATCTAAGACATGTCACTTTGTACTAGTTTCACAACTCTGTTCTCCCTTGTTTGGGGAAGAGCAATAAGGTCTCTTCAAACCTGAGAGGAAAAGAATAACTTCCCTTTTTCATTCTCTTAATTCATCAACATTCCTTCCTTCATGATGTACCAGTGTCCATCTGTTTCCTTGGTAGTGAAAATGCAAGCAAATACCTTAATTCTTGAGACTAAAAGTAATCTTAACTTGGCCCCCGTTGTATAGCATCACTGATTCTTCCTTGTTTGTGGCTGAGGAATCCTTGCTACTTGCTTTGCTCTCAGCAGTATCTTAACGTGTTCACTCTTGGCAAACCTTTGTTGGGACAGCTCTTAACTGACCAGTGCTTTTTCTGTTGTCATGGGCGGTCTCTTCCCTTCACCATTTATACCCTTTCATTCGGCAGGGAAAGGTTCCAAACAGAATAAACAGTTTGTCATCTTTGGCATATGGTCTTTATATAGTTCTTGCATCTTGGACTTAAAAGGGATGGAGTGGGGAAAGCAGCTTCCTTCTTGCTCAAGCCCCTTATCTAGCTTGCTGAAGTTACAGCTTCACTGATGTACTACAGCTTCCCCTTTTGCAACTTAATATTTAGTTTCTGTCCCAAATGACTAAATCCTCTGTGTTAGCTTTATTATTGAAGAAATTCCATTGTAAAGTGTCATTTATTAATCCTGAAATATTTTTGTTTAAAAAAATTCTGCTGGGTAGCGCACACAGGCACGCTTTGCCCTTTAATTTGTAATAGTAATTATATCTTGGAAGCTTATCCCCAACAGTAATTTTTGTTCTTACAATATTAAGGATCTTTATTCCTAAATAATTGTACATCAGACTTGATTGTTGTACTAAAAGGTCTTACTGCTGTCCTTTCCAAAAGCACTTTTTAAACCAGATTCTGGCCATATTTAGAGTAAAACTATTTGCACTGTACTAATCACTGAATAAGTAGATCACTATTCTTTTGTTTTACATAAGAAGGCAATGTCTTCCAACTAACACTCTAATTCCCAGGGGTTTCCTGCAAATGTTCCATCCAAACCATTTCTTGCTGGGAAGGATTAAAAAAAACCCCATCATCTTAATAGTAATTTTTTTCCGTTCTATTTCTTATTTTTCCCCTCACCACGGTTAGCAAATAGTTCTTCCCACAACACGCCTTGTTTTCCTTGTAAAGCAAAAAGTCTTCAAATCTTAGGCCCTAGGAGAACCCTGAAATGCTATTTCTGGAGGACTTGAATGTTAGGAAGCTTGATACTTTCATGTTTCCTTTGTTGGATGAAGGGAAAGGGAACAGAAATCTCTGTGTAAGTACTCCTTTTCCAGGTTTTTACTATAGATCTGCAAAGCTTATTCTTGGGCTGAAGTTCCTTTCCACCTGCCTCCCCAAACTGTCTCCCTTTAATACAGCGAGCTTCCTACATACAAAAAGCAGCACAAAGTTGTAACTTTGCCTTGGTGGTTGTATCTTGCTTGGCCTAAATTAATTCTGCATTCTTAGATGTTGTGATGTTAGTGTCACTTGCTTGAAACGTGTTTTTTATTTGCCATCTCTTTCCATAGGATACTTACATTCAGAATTCATTTCTTCTGGAATAATGGGCAAAATAGAACATAAAACTTGCATTGATTTATCTTCCTCTTTTGCTAATCAAGAAACTCATTTGACTTTTTATGGAAAGTACCTGTAGTAAGACAGACCTATGTCAAACACCCGAAAGCACTGGTAATAGGCCTAGCAGCCTCTACCCATGGCGGAGTCCGCAGGGGTGTGGGTGTGGATGTGCTGGAAGACCGTGGGTAAAAGATTTAGTCTTCTTGCCTTTGTCTCAGCCTGTAAGATAGTAAGAGCAGTACCTACCTCACAGGTTTCCCCAACATCCCCCCCACTCAGAATTCTTTAGTTCATTAACTTTTTAAAATAATGCTGGTGGCCCCCAGAAGGTGCTACAGAAGGGCACAGTGTTACTGCCTGCAGGCTGAATACCATTGTTTTTTCTGGCAGTATATAGGCCAGCCACAGTTAGGGAAAGAATTTTGTTTGGTGTCTCTCTAAAGAAAATGCAAAAGTGCTTTGCTGGGGAGAATAGAAAGGGGCTTTCGGAAGAGGTGCTGAAGACGTGAAAATTCAGAGTGGTGATTGGTCACCTCTGCTTGATTGACAGGTTGCAGGGAAAAACAAAAACCCATTTGTTCTGGCTTAATGGAACTGGAAAACAGAAAATGAGTATCAGGTAAAAATTCCTTTTTTAAAATCTTTGCAGTTCTCCTTTAAAAAGTGGAGTTTTTACAGAAACTACACCTCCCCCACTCCAATAAATTAGGAGTAGGAACTAGAGAAACAGGCAGTTGCTAAGTTGTGTAATGTGGGTTGTGTATGTCAGCGCGTTTTCTAGCAGGCAGGTGTTCTGAAACACCACAGCAGCCAATGCTACTGGGCTAGCTTAGCAAAAAAGGCAGAGGATTGAAAGGGTGTAGTGACTAAGCCCTGAACTGGACCCAGCTCTCTGGTTAGGCTCATTAGCAGGACGTTCAAGGGGAAGCTTTTATTTTCACTTCCTATACTGTGCCTGCTTTGTGGATAAAGTCTGTCAGTTTCTACTACTATCAATTTGGCATCTTTCATGAGCATTATTACAAAATTCACTGAAAAGTGAATAGCTAAAAAGTAAACTGTTTTAAAGTAACTTCCATCTAGCAGTATACTGTCTTACAGATTTTATAATAAATTTCAACATCAGCACCACAGTTTTGTGAATCATAATTGAAAATGATTTATTTCTCGTAACTTAATTATTTTGTATGTTGATGTATTTCAGATTGAAGGACAAGGACATGGTGCAGTTTTTGACTGCAAGTGCTCTCCTGATGGACAGCATTTTGCATGTACTGATTCTCACGGTCACCTTCTGATTTTTGGCTTTGGTTCCAGTAGCAAATATGACAAGGTACAGTGCAAGATGAAAATCAAAATGTTTGTCTGTGTTGAATGCATTTGTGCAAACTTTCCTTCAGAGCTTCTTTTCAAGAGGGTGTGTCTTAACACAATTTTGTGTGTGACAACACACAATATGGGATGTTTCAGATTCCTGTTGTTGACATGGAGGTTTCTTACACTGTCTTTTTTTTAAACTATGGAAACATGCTATTAAGTTACTGTTTACATGGAAAGTTGAAAATCATTTAAAAAAAGAAACATTAAAAAAATTACCCAGTCACAGTCTCCTCTCATAAGTGACGAGGTTACAAGTGTCCACTAGTGGATCCACATGGATAATGTGAATAAACTGCCATGGAATTGATAATAGTTAAACATTTTGCTTCAACTATTTTCCTGGTTCTTAAATAAGACCAAAAAAGATGGTGGGGGGGGGGGAAGGGGTGGAGAGAGATAGAACTAATTTCTGCTGTCTGTATTTAAACATTGCATACCCTGGGAGACAATTATTTACAATAAATGTACTATATATTCTAGTGATAAAATTTTACATCTGCTAATGAAGTTCTGCTGTCACGGATGCCCAGGTGCTTACGCAGCAAGCTTCTACTGTTACTGTGTAATTAAAATATTACATCTTTATTCTAATGTCATAGTTTACATTGTGTATTCTAAGTGTGGATGTCTTGCCATGGATCCTTATGACTGTAAAAATACGTGGTGTTACTTTTTTTTTTTTCTTTGAGGATGAACGTGCCCTGTGAACCATTACAGGTTACCTAGTTTGGGGTCCGCACAAGGCCCTAATTCTTCTTTTATCACCCAGGGAAGAGGTGAGCTGTGTCTCTCCTCCCTCTTTCTAAGACTTAGGGAGACATAAGTGCTCCAGGATTTTAATTCCAGTAGCTGATACTTGAAGGTTGTTGGTGAAGTGTTGGCTTCTGGATCTTGCCTCCTGCTTTGGATCTTTGGACTCAGGCTGGCTTTGAAAGCATTTTGGCAAATGACGATGCAGAGGGGCCTGAGAGAGGGAGAGCAAAAGGAATTTTAATCTTTTGTCTTGTAAGCCACTGCGTTTCTTTCTCTAGACTTCCAGGTCTTACTTTGATGCTAGTTACAGCAGTATAAGCATATTGTTTTGTGGTGTGGTTTTTTTTTTTGTCCTTGTCTCAAATATAATTTGCAGTACTCACTACTTGGCTGCTCTTGCTATCTGTCATCTATTACTAGCTGTGCATTTTCCCTTCCATTGCAAAGAAAACAAACAAGTGCAGACGTACCACAAACAAGGAAAGCCAGGATTATGAGATCATTTTCAAGGTCTTTATCTTTAAGAGTTCTTACTCTTCCAAACTTTAAAGCCTGATGTAATAGAAATATTTTTCTCACCATGTCCATGGATCGTTCCACATTTATTTTTCTTTCCAGTCATTTTGGAATTGTATAGTCTGCTGCTACTCAGAAGTGTTGGAGATGAAATTGAAACCGAGAGCTTTTTTGTCATTTCTGTGATGGACCAGGAGTTGCCTTTTTACAGTGCTATTTGAGAATTTACCTTGTGAGGGATTAAATCTGTTTGAAGAATGAAAGCAATTGCTTTTCATTTCTTGAATTCTACAGACCCTTTGTTCTCTTGGGGTTTTCACTATAGCCTCTGAGAAAAGATTATGTTTAAAAATTCTCATTTATTGAGTGATTTTTAAATGATCCTCTCCAGCTGTTACTGTGCTAATGGTAATCTTGGCATTCTTCACCATAGAACAAAAGGGAGCAATTAGAATGTGCATTTGTTACCTCTTTAATCTCAGTCTTCAACTCTCACAAAACTCAACTTGGAACTTTCCAATGTCTTTCTTCTCTGGTTCCATCTACTCTTTCACTTTTGTCTGATCTGCTTTATGGAAAAATGTAACTACAGATAGATATGTCCTGGAGATTAGGTGTTCTTTTTTTCTGTCCTCCCACCCTCAGATACTTTGGTTTTTTTCAGACATCTTCTGAGAATATGCTTTGGTAGGACCTGCCTGGTTTTGGCTATAAGGTGGTTTCCATCCGTCTTGGGGAATGATTTTTACAGAAGAAAGGGATGCGGTAACCTGTCGCGTATTCCTGCATCTTGTGAGTTGTGCTCAGGACAATGGTTATTAGCTTAAATAGCATTAGCTCTGCTGAGAGAGCAAGCTCTTGGTTTTCCACACGTATATATTTTTCATGTTACATTCAGATAGTATTTGTATTTCCTAGCTGACTGGAACCACTGTGCAGGCTTTTTTCCTGGCCAGCATGATCTTGGCCACTATGAAGGTAATAGGGTGGTGGTTTGTGTGTGTGGTTTTTGGGGTTTTTTTTGTTTGTTTTGTTTTTTTAATGATACATGTTTTTGTGGAATAATTTGGCAGGGGGGAGCGTGGATACATTTGCCACTTTTTTGGGGCTTCTCTGTTATTTGACCCAATTACAGGAACCTTGAGCCAATCTCAGCTGAGATTACTGAGTGTGTGAAGATCATCAGAGATGAGCTGAGCTCACTGTCAGTAGCACATGTGCACTTCAGAAGTTCTTGCTTAGGTGGAAACTTGCCAGGAAT